ACATCGAGTTAAGAAAGAGTAAAAGTGCTCAAGTGCACTGGCTCAAATAGAAATAAATAAATAAAACTACATAATTGTTAATGAATCTAAGCAAACTCTATGTTAATAAATAATTTCTTCTGAGTTAAGGGCACATAATTCTAAGCCAATTTTACCGGAAATGAAAGGCTTAACGGCTTAAACATTTTACCCGCGGATTAATTTTTTTAATTTCATTTTCCTTTGTTTTCAACTAACGCGCTGTTAATCCGTTCATATGTCACAAGTAAGACAAAGTAGTGGGCGGTTTTGCTGGATTAGTATTAAGCCGGAATCGTGACTTAACGTACAAATTTAAGTACTCTGCATTTAAGCATGAAATTTCATTTAAATTGAAAGATTTTCAGTAGAAAAAATACCAAATATTTTATTGCAGTAGCAAATATTCTTAATCCCTTCCTAATTACAATACAATTATAGTAATAATTATAATCCAGTAATTCTGAAATACCAACCGAAAGGAAATGAAAAATTAGCGCATCCTTTTGTTGTCTCAAAATAATTTACGTAAGTAAATCGTGTGAATTTCTAGCAAACAAGATCGATCATGTTTAAAAATTAAATTAAATTCTCATTATTCAGTTTTTAGTTATATTTTTCAATCAATATTTTAAACGAGATACGAATGAATTCATTAAATTTCTTCAACAAATTATTTTCTACGCTTGACATGATATCAAAAAATTTTTTACTGAAAGTTCAATTAGGGCTACGAAAACTATAGCTCACCACTATTTTGATGTATTGTAATACTAGTAATAATATAAATTACTAAGGGCTCACTTCACGTTACTTGGTGGCAGCATGCAAGTTGTAGGTGTCCTGAACCACCACCGTGATGTGATGATCACTCTGATGAGTGCGCGAAGTGCATGGGAATTCAGTAAAGTTTACCGAAATTTGTAGAATTGCGTGTGATGCTATGTTGTGCAATTGATCACAAACACGGTTGGAGATGTTGCACTTTTGCTGCACATGAGTAAATGCACTCCTTTAGTCTAATATACAAATTATTACAGATGACATGACAAATTTCTATTTTCGAGTATGATGAGTTAGTTATCATAACAGATGAACAAATATTGAATCGTGGGAACTTTTACTTTATTTTAGTTTATATAGTTAGACAGCATCACGAAAGCTGAGTTTTCTAGTCAAAGTATTTTTCCCATGGATAATTTATTTCAAACATTTTGTCATTGCCATTTAAGCTTATTTCACATAAAACTATTGAATGAGTAATTAAATTTTGATAAAATGATAGAACATATCTTCCAAAATAATACTTAGTAAGTTATATAGTCTGCACATATTATTATTGAAAATAGGGAATTAACTGAGTATTTGGATACTGACGGAGCGGAGCACTGTGATCATGCTATAAAATAAAATAATTTACAATGTTAATTTTTTCTTGCCGAGAGTGACGCGTCTTTATGACGAAAACAAACTATTTAAAAGTTAGACGGGGTCGACTATCAAAAAAAGACAAAGACAAAAATTTTAGTTAATTTATTTAAATTTGGCTGACCATACAACGCTGTTTCGAGTATTGCCAAGTGCTCACCGTCAGTGGTCTTAGGAAATATTATTATCATTTAATAATAGAAAAAATATTTTGAAATACAAACAAAGCTTTCACGAGTAATAAGGAGACTGCGTCCTTATATGGAATGATTTAAAAGTGATTTACCTAGTTTCGTGGGGGTAGTAGTACTGGTCATACAGCTTAAATAAGACCACAAGCAACAACTCAGTAGAAAGTGAATAAAATCTATGCTCCAGTAATGAAATATCCAGGAATAAAAATGTTTGAGACTAATGCAGTAGTAAAAATCCTTTGTCACTGCGTTCATAACATTTTGAAAGTTCCGAATTTACTCACATTGGATCAAAGATGTACTCATTAATCAGTTTCGAGCAGTACTTGCAAATATTTAAACATACGATACTCCGGAAACAAAAAATCCCATCGACTAGTGAATGCTCAGTAGGGTCAACTAACAGTGGACCAGAAACGTGCACTTGAATTACTTGCAGGCAGTGTTAGCAAATATTTTAACGTAATCCAAAAGAGTTTCAGTGGTAGTTTTAAGCTGTAGATGAAACATAAGCACATTACTATGATCCGCTAAAAAAAAGAAGGAGAGGACTGATAGTTGCTGGATTAATTAATAGTGGATCAAATATTTCAACATATCCCAAAAAAGTTTTTGGATAATTTATAACTAAAGATGAAACATAAATACATATAAAATACATACAGTGTCCAGAAATGAAAAGCCATAGAATCTGTGGACTAGTAGATGTTAAATCAACTGACAGTGGATATAAAGTGTACACGTAAGTGACTTCTAGGTAGTATTTTATATATATTTCATTGTAATCCCGCATCATTTCAATTATAGATGAAACATAGACATATCAATATATTTCGAAAAAGAAAATCAAGGGAGAACTAATAGTTTCTAGATTAACTGATAGTAGATCAAAATCGTACACTTGAATCATTTCCAAGGAGCATTATTAAATGTTTCAACCTATTCCAAAAGAGTATCTCAGAAATTTCGTAACTATAGACGAAGGAAGTATACTTCACTATACTTCGGAAACGAAATCCTATATTTCTATCAGCGAAACTATCTACTTTTGAGTGACTTTGACATAGTTTAAAATTGTGCGAATTTTGTTATATGGTCTAACACATCTGTATTGAACAGATATGGCACTATCCGATTTCTATTTATTTTCAAATTTGAAAATATGATTTTGCCAGAAAGGAACTCTAGTTAAATTGGTAAGTAATTTCCGTTAGTAATGCACATTTGGAGTACCTCAAGAAATGTTTTTTTTTGGAAAATACACAAAGAATTGTTACGCGTTTGCAGCAAATATATAGATCTCAAATGGAAGTATCAAAAAATCCATTTAAGAGTAAACAAAGAATTCATGTGCTTCCATTATACATTTCTGTGTAATACCATATTTTTTAATGTATAAAAAATATATATTAAATATTGTTTGACAAGACTTTGAATTAGCCAATAAAAAACACAGTGTATAACGATTTTTAAATAACCATATATATACTGGTTACCTTAATTTACAAAATTAAAAAAGTTTGACTTCCTCAATCAGCGAGAAAGTATTTTTTATATCGGATTGAGGAGTTCTAGAACCAGATTGAAGATGTTGTAAAGTTAATGAAATAACTATATCATATTATCGTATATTTTAGTGCAATTTATAAGTAACTGCCGCCCAAACAGTGATCATTTTAATGTTAATTATAATAAATTTTTTTACAACAAGTGGTTAATATTATTATATATCAATATTATATATATCAATATTATTATATATAATATTTTTTAATTTTTTATATGCCATAAAAGGTGCTTATTTAATGACTATTCCATTTAATTAACATTTAATTATTATATATAATATGCGTATACTCTATAGTCTTAAACAAAATACTTATATTACATTAGAACCACTATATATATGCAGTTGAAATTAAATGTTTTATTATAACATTTTTATAATTATAATATAAAAATAATGAAATATTAATATTTTAATATATTTAATATATTGCTAAACAATATTAAATCTGTTTACGTTATTTTAAAACGATATATAATGGCTTATTTAATTAGTATATTATATATTAATAAATTTAATTAATTATTTCAGTTGTAAATAAAATATATTATTTGATAATATATAATGTATTGTATATAATGTATTATATGATAATATATAATAGTATTTTATATGATAACATATAATAATATATGATAATATAAAATAATATTTTCAATAATATATAATTTTATGAAAATATATATTCATATGTTATATGATAATATATAATAATGTATTATATGCTAATATAAATTAATATATGTGATTATAACGTTAATTATGTGATATAATATATATAATTGTCATACTAAACTACAATTTTAATAAATTATTTTAATTAAAAATATAATATATAACAAGGTCTATAAAAATAATACCATAACCATTTTTCGCATTCAAAATCTGGTAAATAGTAAAGTTTAAATAAATTAAATAAATAAAAGTTGGCTTTATCACTTCTGATATGTCTGAGTATAATTCAATAAATTCAATAATTCATAAATTGAGTGAAACAAATAAATTTCTAAAATTGCGCAGTTTTCATAAGTGTGAAGTAAAATAGGTAAACAACGAGTTCCATTAGAAATTATGCCAAAATAGAGAAAGAAGTGACGTACAACCCTTGCCTAATTGCGCTCAGAAAAGCAGGTACATAACCAGATTGCTACAATAGTGACGCCATGAAAACATATGCCATACAATAGACGAAGAGAAAGCAAACCGATTATTACCAAACGATGAAGTTCATTCAAAACGCAGACAGGTAAACTATATTTTCACTGCCGAAAAGGTCATGAAACTCAATGTACCAACTACATGACCAAGATTTATTGAATGAAATTCACATTTTGCAATGGCAGTAACATGTAACCAGACAAGGATCTATGCTCTCTTACCACATTTCGCAGCACTAATGTATTTGAGTGCGAGAGAGACCACGCAAAGAATACGCTGCAAAATCAACCAATGAATATTGTTTTTACTTTCGAACAGGGTTGCAGGGATGATCAAATACGTAATGAATTATACAGAATAGAGAATTTGCGTGTATCGACTGCAGGACTATTAAAACGGGAGCAAGTAATGAGCACTTATCATAACAATTTAAGATCTCGTCGGGATAAGTTGGTGTCTAATATAAATATTTTTGTGGACATTTAAAGAAAATATATGAGATAACTAAATTAAATAAACTTAACTAAAAATAAACTACAGTTTAAGTGAACATATATTATTATTTAACTAAAAAGACAATAGTGCAAAATCGGATTTAATAATTTATTTATAAAAAAAATAAAATATAAGTAAAAATGCAATCAAGTGAAGGATCTCCTGAAATGATGGATCAAAAATATAATGCCATGCGTTTATCACCAGCCGCATCGAGTAAGTTTAACCAAAGCTTTTTTGTTAATTCACAAGACCCAACAAAACACAACACAGCCACTCTTAAAGCGTTTAAAATTATTATTAAGACCCATAATTATGTCTAAAAGAACAACTAATTGCACCCCTTATTTGATTCAAAATAATAATTATTGGGCGTTTAATTTGAGGGATATATGGCAGTGCTTTTGTTGCGTTTCACTTCCTACATTTGATAGCGAATTTCTTTTTGGAATATTAAACTAATAAATAATTTTCTTTTTTAGGTCGTATACTGTATCATGTACCATGCAAAGTTTGCCGTGATCACAGTTCTGGAAAGCATTACGGCATCTATGCATGCGATGGCTGTGCTGGATTCTTCAAACGCTCCATACGCCGCTCCCGCCAATACGTCTGCAAGTCCCAGAAACAAGGTCTGTGCGTAGTGGATAAAACACATCGTAACCAATGCCGCGCATGTCGTTTACGCAAATGCTTCGATGTAGGAATGAATAAAGATGCTGTGCAACACGAACGAGGTCCACGTAATTCTACACTGCGTCGTCATATGGCTATGTACAAGGATGCGATTTTAGGTGGTCCAGAAATGCCAGCATTATCACATGAATTATTAATGAACACAGCTTTAACTGGTTTTCCTGGTATGCCTATGCCTATGCCTGGTGCACAACATACACATCATGCATTGGGTGGTACTTTCCAACCACCGGTTGTGTTAGATTTATCAGTACCACGTGTACCACATCATCAAGGGCATCCAGGATTTTTCGGTCCCAGCGCTGCTTATATGAATGCTTTAGCTTCACGTGTACTTCCACCAACTCCGCCACTAATGGCTGCTGAACATATTAAGGAAACCGCCGCTGAACATTTGTTCAAAAATGTGAACTGGATCAAAAGTGTACATGCCTTTACTGAATTACCAATGTCGGATCAATTGCAATTACTAGAGGAATCATGGAAGGAGTTTTTCATATTAGCAATGGCGCAATATTTAATGCCAATTAATTTTGCACAACTACTCTTCGTATATGAATCAGAAAATAGCAATCGTGATGTTGTTGGTGTTGTTTCACGAGAGGTGCATGCTTTTCAAGATGTTTTAAACCAGCTCTGCCATATGAATGTAGATAACAATGAATACGATTGTTTACGTGCAATAACACTTTTCCGGAAACCTGTGTTAATCACTACTGAAGAGTTGATAAATAATTCACTATGCACTGGTAGTGGTAGTCCAAACTCCAGCACATCAGGCGATTCCCGCGGACTTATCGAATCCTCCAAAGTAGCATCCTTACATGATGATGCGCGTAATGCATTGCATACATATATTGCACGCAGTCATCCCAATCAGCCTTTACGATTCCAGACTATGTTGGGTGTAGCTACGCTTATGAACAAAGTCTCCAGCTTCACAATTGAAGAATTATTTTTCCGAAAAACTATCGGGGATATTACAATTGTGCGTCTCATCTCCGATATGTACAGTCAGCGTAAAATATAAGTGTTGTTCCGTCGGCAATTCTCGTGATCGCAATATCGAAATGGTCTGCGACTATTGCGCAAGAAGTGCCTTCTGCGATCAAAAGTGCTGGAAACTGTGATATATTTTAAGCGCCTTTGTAGATTTGTTGGACAATAAAAGTTATGGTGACATTTAAAGTAATGTATTATATACGAAAATATGTCTATTAAAAGTGATCTTAAATAATATTAAGTTTAATGTAATATAAAATACAAATGTTATATATGAATATTATATACAAATGTAATAAAAATATATTTATGTAGATTTATTGTATTGACAATGAAAAGAAAAGAATATGAAGTTAAATATAAACGTTTTTAAAACATTAAAATTTCTTTGTATTTATTAATAACTTTGGAAAAAATACATTCAACGTCGGTAGAAATTGTGAACGCGTCTTCAGGCTTTTGGTTCTGTGATCTGATCATACTTTATTTTTTGAGAAAGATTCACTTTGAAAAATTATTTTTCCAAAAATAAATGTACTTAAATAATATAATAGAGTACCAGAATCTAGAACAAATTTTGAGAGCTATAGTATTTTCCAATCAAACTTAATAAGGAATGATATAAGTCTAAATGATGTTAAATGACGTTATTGATGGAGTTGTTACGCATGATCATAATGTGAATTAGTGTTACGCCAACAGACGTTTTTCAAGGATGTTTCTATAATGAAACCTTAAATAAGTCTAATCTTAAATAAGACTTTCCTATTTATTAGATTGGAGTTATCTCGCAGATAGAAGTTTAACTTGATTTGTTATAGATATTAGCACATTTGTGTGAAAGTCTACCGTGAAAATCATTTTATGTTGGCGTTTCTAAGAACCTAAGAATCTATAGTCAAGCTCCATTTCGTCACCTCAGCTGTATAAATTATTTAATTAATTTATTTCAATAATCAAGTGAATAAATTTGAGTTTTTTTAATACATACATTTTTTTAGATGTGTTAGATTATAATTGAAAGACAATAAACACAGTTTTAGAAATTATTTCAAATATTCTTTCATTCGATTAATGATTTTATGATATCAATAATTCATTCCGGAAACATTTTACAAAAAGTATTGAAGGCATTGAATTTTATATATGACTGCATCATACATACGAGTATGCCAATTATTCACCTTATGCTGGAATCATTCAAGACTTATTCATATAGACCGTTGTCTTTAAATATTTAAATACCGTCGGTAAATCAGACGACTTCGAAAGCTACGCTAGAGTGGAATTTTTCAAGAGTTCAGACAATAGACAATATTAATCACTTTTTGCAAGTGCAGTGAAAAATAAATCATTGTTCATGGTGATCACTATACGATCACTATAGATTATTCCAATTTTCTTCATTAACAATATTAAACAGGGCACTTTTTGGGATGCATTGGCAGCGAATCAATAGCTTTTAGTCCAAATATTAGAATTTTTTGTTAATAAACTTATTAAGGTAAAAGTAGGTAGTAACGCCTCAAACACTAATTAATAAATAATAGTTAGCAGATTAATTATCAGATTTTGGGGTGCGCTAAAATGGAAAACAATATATTACTATGTATAAGAAATTTTTGCATTATATTTTCCCGTCATATTATTAATATTATAATATACATATCAGATATATATATGACATATATAATCAATATTAGCAGTTTTCTGAAAATAATTTTTTCAGTAGATGTTTAAATACTTACAATTTTTATGCGATGTATTTATAAACACTTTAAACAATCATAAAATATTATTTTCATTTTTGGGTAGTAAAAGATTTTATTATTTTTATGATTTTATTTTATTTATTTTAATATTTTCAATTAGTATTATTAAGAAAATTTATTTATTTTCTTAGTCTTTAATATAGTTTCATATTTATCATATGGGTCTTGACGTTAAATAGATGACGCCATAGTAATCTTGCTCAGTGCGCGTGTAGTGCTAAAGCCAGCACGGACTCAACGACTCTTCTCGGAACATATTACAGTAGTTAACACTTTTGATATATTTTTAGATGACTTTTCGGAACATGGTAGTAGCTGGCTCATAACTAGAAGAATATTCGCTTTCATTACCGCCGGAAATTTCAGAATTGTCTGCAGAAACACGATCTTTCGCGTAGCCCCAAAAAATAAAATCAAGTGTTTAAAAATTATATGTTCACACAAACTAACATACTTTATGGGTGTGTCGCGTATAGCAAAGCTGCCGACTTTATTTTCTAGAAGCTGCAGGTTGCTCAAAGTCAAGCTCTCCGAAGTCTCTTCAAACTGTCATGGTACATCCGCACGCATGACTTGCTAAGAGACCTTAAACATATAAGGAACAAAGCCCTGAAGCTATATTAGAAAAATAACAGGCTGCCCTACTTAGCACTATCTAATCTCAGAGTAATCACTAATCGGACGCTGTACGCAGATATTAGATATCAGTCATTAAATAATCACGAAGCTTATGAGGAATATATAAATTAGTCAGTCAGATAGGTGGGACTCTGCAGAAACTTCTCAGCTATCAAAGAGTAATAGTGCCCAGATGCACAAACTCGGAAAAGGCTCAACATTAGACAAACATAAAATTATACGTCCCAGAAATATCTCGCATAACAAAGCCGAAAGAGTACATGTCGTGACTGCTACAACCGTCAATATTGAAACCACATATATTTCGTATAGATAGATACTTCAATTTCATACCTTCTACATTTTCAAACCATACTGTGACTTTTTAAGGATGACAATTATTTATCGATTATTACTGCTTTAGATGCGTTAATTGGGTTGGGTTTCATATCTACTAGTAATAAAAAAGCATAAACATTGGAAGTTTTGTTACATTCATCCTATACTTAATGTTTCATATAATGCTATATAAAGACCTCGAAGCATATAATTCATGATATAAATCATGAATTATAAATTTGATTGATATATGTTGCTGAAATAGTAGTGCTAAATAAAAATCACGAAGTGGATAACCCTTTATTGAAATAAAACTACACAAAAATAGTGGGTCAAATGAGATATTAGACCAAATTAAAAATATATAAATATTTAAAAATATATTAATCATTTTTAAAACGATAGGTTGAAATGATCGCTGCAAATATATGCATATAATGAGTAGAAGTGACAATAAATAGACTCTATAACATGTAAAATATATAAGCAGACTCTGGAGTAGATAATACTGCTGTTAACCACAGAACATCTGATAACAATGTTGTTAGATCATCCATAGGAAAAATGCACAACCGATCAGTTTCATATATTTTATTAGACACAAATATATATAGGAAGTAAAACAAAATAATAACATATAAATGTAAAGAATTGCATTTCTTACTATTTTATCTGATATGTACGAGTTGTACTTTTTGGTATGTTTTATACTAACAAATGTTACTAAAGACTTCGATATAGCTAAGCAAATATTTCTTTTAAAATGTTGCACCTTCACTTCAATACTAGCAAAATATTTATATTTGTCAGGAATTATATATCATATTTTGACTGTGATACAGAAATCGTTTTTTACACGAATTGGTGACTATACTCAGGTAAGTATAGATAGATTCATTTAGAATGTTGTTATTTGAAAATTAAATTTCGAAACTACTGTAGAAAAATATATCGCTAACTTTACTTTTATTGCATATATTGCACAACTACGTTCGCGAACATTTGGCATATAAGTAAAATCCGGAAAAGGGATCCTGTTTGCTTGTGACTTTAACATTAGTTTAGATACTATTCTCTGATTAGGTATTAAAATCAAACTCAATTCACAATCATTTGATTCCTTCAGTTTTATATAAAAGAAAGAATTATTCAGATAAGGTTTAAGTAATGAAAATTAACATAGAATTTCTACTTCAATAAGCTAAAGTACAATGGTACATGAGGATTAATTCCAAATGGCACCCATAATAGCCTTACCCTAGCAAGCATGGAACTATGGCAGAATTCAATGGTTGCCATACAAACTCAAAAAGTTAAAAAGCAAAATTTGCTTTTATGACTTTTCCGTGCCACAGCCAATAGTCACCACACACATACGAGTCCACAGCTGAGAACACATAAATCCTTTCCTTTGACGCTACAATTGAATCAACTGCATTGAAAACGTACCAAAGGTTTATTACAATACAGAGACGAAAATTCGTATGGCTGAATAAACAAAGTCATTTATGCAGTAAAAAAAAAATAGTATTAAAATTTTTAATTTCAGCAGAAAATTTGTTGTTGAGATTGTGAATGAGAGCCTACAGCAAATATAGCAAATAAACTAAAATCTGCAATATTGCCAACAAATTGTTTAGAGTACGGAACGCTCACAGCGGAGCGGTACAATGGTTTGGTGCAAAACTGAGCTATCACCCTTTGCAGTGCCGTCCAATACACGTTTCACTGGCTCACTCACATATTTACGTGCATATTAGCTTTATTTATTTTTTTCTTATTTTTGCATTGAACGAGGATTTAAAATTAAATACGCTTCGGTGGTGATGACATATATGAGGCGATGATGAACTCAACTTAACTCGACTCAACACAATTCAATTTCAAACGGATCATTCCATTGTAGCAGTACTGATCGTTGTTGTTGTCTCTACCATAGTTTTTAGTTGCTGCAAATTTTTATTATTTATCCTTTTTGTTATTTTGTTGCTGGGCTGAGCCCTTTTAAGTCCTAATGGCCCTTTATTATCCTGCCTTTAGACTTTTAATAGACTCATAGATGTTGTGCTCATCCCTTGTGGTTGTTTCTCTTGCTTTCATTGCTTTGTATTCATTGTACTTGTTGTAGTTGTTATTGACGTCTTGTTCGTGCACAGCTATTTGCCTGTATATTTTGACTTAATCCTCATCTTTCTGTCATCAGTGACATTTCTCCAACATTGTTATTGGAATTGTTTTGAGCTCAATTTGCAGTTTTTGGCAATATTGTTAGGAGTTTGATTTATTTTATTGCCGTCTTTTATATTTTCAAAAATATTTCC